CATTTTCTGCAAGGTTATTCCCTTCCTTGCCAGCATCAGCTTTTCCCTTTTTCCCTTTGGGTACCTTCTTTCCCTTGTTTGCAGGGGCCTTTTTAGGCTTGGGCTCTGGCTTTGGAGGAGCAGGTTTATCAGACAACCTCGCGGACCTTCTCTGTGGTTCGTCCTTCACCTTGGCCTTATCTCCTTTAGCATCCCCTTCAGCCTTTCTCTTGGGCATGGTGGCGACGGCAGCGGGACGTAGGCGCTGGGCGCGGGATGCAGCGTCGCATGGGCTTTTGTTGGTCCGGGGGTCGTTCTCGCTTCTTCTTGTTCACACTGCTCCTTTATGGCCATTTTCTTGGTTGGTGTTGCTTTTATGAAGGGATGAATTTTCGAGTGTCTTTATTCCACCATTTTCACTGATGTCACCTACAACACGGTTTTTAATTTCTGAAGTCTCACTGGCCACATGTCTGTAGTCCCAGATACTTGAGAGGCAAAGGAAGAAGGATCCCTTGAGTCCAGGAATTCTGGGCTGTAGTGTGCTATGCTGATTGGGTGTCCGCACTAAGTTCAGCATCAGTATGGTGACCTCCTGGGAACAGGAGACTGCCAGGTTGCCTAAGAAGGGATGTCCCAGCCCAGTTCAGAAATGGAGCAGGTCAGAACTCCCACGCTGATCAGTAATGGGATTGGGCTTGTGAATAGCCACTGCTCGCCAGCCTGGGCAACATAGTGAGTGAGAACATGTTTCTTAAAAAAAAAAGTCTCAGTGACTGTAGACTAATTAAATATTTAATCATGGGAAATGATTGGGAAAATAAATAAAAAGGGAAACTATAATTCTCTCTCTCTCTCTCTTTTTTTTTTTTGCTCTATCGCCCAGGCTGGAGTACCGTGGATCAATCTCTGCTCACTGCAACCTCTGCCTCTGGGGTTCAAACAATTCTCCTGCCTCAGCCTCCTGAATAGCTGGGACTACAGGCTAGTGAGAAACTGTAATTCTCATAGAGGTCTTCCCAGAGTAGATGAAGATTTAAAGGCATTTCTGTATTTAGACTTCTCAAAATTAAGGCTGGGCCCAGTGGCTCACACCAGCACTTTGGGAGGCCAAGGCAAGCAGATCACCTGATATCAGGAGTTCAAGACCAGCCTGGCCAACATGATGAAACTCCCATCTCTACTAAAAATACAAAAATTAGCCAGGTGTGGTGGTATGTACCCCTAGTCCCAGCTACTTGGGAGACAGACAAAGGAGAATTACCTGAGCTTGGGAGGTGGAGGTTGTAGTGAGCCAAGATCACATCATTCCAGCCTGGGCAACAGAGCAAGACCCTGTTGGAAAGAGGAGAGGGAGAGGGAGAGGGAGAAGGGAATAGGAGAGGGAGATCAAAGGGAGGGAGGGAGGAAGGGAAAGAGGGAAGAAGAGGGAAGGGAAGGGAGGGAGGAAGGGGAGAGAAAAGAAAGAGAGAAAGGAAAGAGAGAGAGAAAGGAAAGAAAAGAGAGAGAAAGAGGAGAAAAGGGGAGGGAAGGAAAGAAGGAAGGGAAGGAGGGAAAGGAAAGAAGAGAGAAAGAAAGAGGGAGGGAGGGAGAGAAGGAAGGAAGGAAGGAAAGAAAGGAAGAAAGAAAGGAAAGAAAAGGAGGAAGGGAGGAGGAAGGAAGGAAAGGAAAGGAAGGAGGGAGGGAGAGAGTAAGGGAGGGGAGAGAAGGAGGGAAGGAAGAATGGAAAGAAAGAAGGAGGGAGGGAAACGAAAGAAGGAAGGAAAGAAAGAAAAGAAAGGGAAAGAAGGAGGGAGGGAAATGAGGAAAAGAAAGTGGAAGAAAAATGAAAGAGAAGAGGGGAGAGAGGGAAGAA